CATGCCGAGATAAATTCTACAAGTTTGACTTGGGATTGGAGGAATAAGTATATTGAATATTTAAAAAATGGAAAGCTCACATCGGACCATAAAGAGTCAAGGGCTATACGAACCAAGGCCGCTCGGTTCACATTGGATGAAGATGGAATATTATATAGAAGGACGTTCAATGGACCATTGGCGGTATGTTTAGGGCCGGGGGACATAACTTGTGTTTTACGAGAGATCCACGAAGGCACTTGGGGAAACCACTCCGGCGCCGAGTCTTTAATTCGCACAATTGTTAGAGCAGGGTATTACTGGGATAGCATGAAAAAAGACACTAAGGCGTTTGTTAGAAAATGTGTTAAATGTCAAAAGTTTGCACCAATGATTCACAGCCCGAAGAGCAACTTCATTCAGTCCTGTCCCCATGGCCTTTCATGAAATGGGGAATGGACATCGTCGGCCCTCTACCAACGAACTCAGGTAAAGCTAAATTCATTTTGTTTATGACTGACTACTTTTCTAAATGGGTGGAAGCACATGTCTGCGAGAAGGTCAGAGAAAAAGAAGTTATAGACTTCATTTGGGACCACATCGTGTGTCGATTCAGGATACCTGCCGAAATCGTATGCGACAACAGGAAGCAATTCATCGGTAACAAGGTAACAGAGTTCCTCGAAGCACACAAAAAATAAAAAGGATCTTATCAACGCCGTATCACCCGAGCGGAAACGGACATGCCGAATCGACATACAAGACTATCATTTAAAAATTAAAGAAAAGGTTGAATGACGCTAAAGGGAAATGGAGAGAAGTTCTACACGAGGTTCTTTGGGCATATCGAACGACATCGAAGTCCAGCACGGGGGCAACCCCATTCTCTTTAGTATGGCTCTGAGCCCTTAATTCCAGTCGAGGAACTCAGCGCTAGATTTTGACATGCATTGGAGGAATCAAATCACGCGGCTATGAATACTAGCCTCAAGCTATTAGATGAAAAACAAGAAACTGCACTTGTTCGGATGGCTGCACAAAAGCAAAGAATCGAGAATTATAATAGAAGAACCAACCTTCGACACTTCGGAATCAGGGACTTAATTCTAAGGAAAGTCACCCTCAATACTCAAGACCCGAATGAAGGGAAACTAGGCCCAAATTGGGAAGGACCATAACGAGTCATAGGAATCATCGGAAAAGGATCTTACAAAATCGGCATGATGGAAGGCGAACAATTTCCAAACAATTGGAATGTATTACTACTCAAACAATATTATTGCTGAGGTATGACCTTCTCCCTTTTTCCATTTATATTTGATACTAACTTATTGTAGGTGTTCGATTGAAGATGTCGAGAGAACCCTTCTACACGAATACCCTTAGGTTTTAAAGCACGCGTTGCACTCTTTTTCCCTTAGATCGGGTTTTACCCAAATGGTTTTCTCCGACAAGGTTTTTAACAAGGCAATAACTATGTGCTACCTAAGGAGAATTCAAAAATATCCAAGGCTTTTTTTTCAATCAACCTCGAATACTGGGGGCATCACCCTCAGAGGTTATATTTTCGAGAAAAATACTTCACGCCAAAGAGGGTCTTAATAGGAAAACTTTGTAATGGGCCAAACGGCCGGATGAACCATGTCCATATAGAATAGTCGAGTCCCGATGGCAAAACATGTACGCATGTATGAATTATTCAAAAAAAGCATTCTTTCTATATCAAACACTTTGTGTCTCAAAGAAATTTGCTACTATACAAGCTCCATACTCGTGATTATGTGAGAAATGGCTCAAGGACCAAAACGCAAATACACCTCGAATACTCGGGGAATATCATCAACAGTCAACACATTCGAGTTATCTAAACTCGGATTCATAAGACCTCAAAGAGGCACCCCTCGACATAAAGGCCAAGGCCATCATACTTGGGGACTAACATTTCGAGCAAGTTTGAAATGTTATCGGGAAACAAGTCCAAGAGGCATACCTGAAGGATACGGCCATACTAAAGGCTACGGCTGAAATAAAGGCTACGACCAAAATAATGCGACTCGGATATGTTCGAATCCCGCAATAAAAACATGCCTTCGAATTCTATGAAAATCGGTTAACAAAGGCTACCTTCGGCAAAATAATAAAAGGGCTTCGATAACATCAACCCTCGAAAAACCTTAAGAGGCATCGAATTATTCAAATACAAACTTGTGCTAAGGCACAAAAAAAAAGGGTTCCGATCGACACAAAACGCTTAGAAAACCCAATGGGTAAAAAATGCATGCCAAGGCATAAAGAAATTTTTACCAAGTCTTTAAGCCGAAAAGAGGAAATAATAGCCATCTCTTAAAGGCCATATCTGCCCAATCTAAAAGAGCTTAAGGGCCAAAACATTTAGAGTTCGAGACCTTATTCTCACTCAACTCGGACCACCATCCCGAGCTGGCATAAAATCGACTTAAGCATAGCTCGAGGATTCATCAAATTTTTTTAAGAGGTATTCTATTATAAGATTGCCCATGGATTACTAAAAAAACCTAAGGGTTTGTTTTACTCTGAGTCCAAGCTAGTGCTCACTCGATTATTGAAGTTATAACATCAAAAAATTTCACTAAACAAAAACGAAGCAGACTTCACAACGAATCAGAGATGGAGCAGAAAGAAAAGGAACTATTTATATACATGAAAAAGTATTTACAATGCCCACAAGGAGCCTTACACAAAAAAAATAATCCTAAGGGCCTAGTCTACTTTGGGAGTTGCATCTTTGGGAGCCATATCTTCGAGAACCTCCTCCTCGAGGGCTTCATCCTCATCTCCTTCGCTCTCGGAACCACTAGCAGAGTCTTCATCATCGGAGAGTAAAGCGGCAACCTCGTCCTCCAAAGTTTTTGCCTTTTCGATATCAGCTGAGAGGTAAAAGCCATGAACGTGCACCTTCTCGAGAGTCGCTCTCTGGGATTGTCGCCTGGCATGGTTGACAGTGCATGACAATTTGACTTTAGTAGCAATAGATATCTCCTGTGCCCGAATGTTGGCATCCTCGGCGTCAGCTCGATAAGAGGCCACAAACGCCTTCGCCTCAGATTTAGCATTTGCAAGTTCGGCAGCTTACTTAGCTTCGAGCTCCTCAATCTTCCGGCTCCGGACCAAGCTTTTCCCTTCACATTTTGAAGTTGGCATTCGACCGAAGCCAGCTGGGCCCGAAGCATGTCTTTCTATGAGGCAAGACGATCCATATTTTGCTTCCACCCCAGGGTCTCGACCTCTTTCGCCTTGACCTCCTCTTGAAGCTGCTCCACTAGCTCGCCCTTCTGATAGACCTGCAAAGTCGAAGTGTTAGTCGCTAAATCAAATAAACACATAACAAACTCCCAAAAAGTTACATTACATGCTCAATGAGCTTAGTCTGTTCTCGATGAGCCTTCATCAAGTCGGCTCAAAGGTCCCTGATCTCCCTCTGTTTGAACGTAGAGGAGTTTGAGGCCGTCCCTCTCTTCCACGAGCTTCTTGATTTCGGCCTCGCATCGGGCAAGCTCGGCTCGAGATTTGAAAAACGCTTGTCGATGGAGCGTCACGGCCTTCACACAAAGAAAAGAAGTTAGACTTACAAAAACGAGAATAAAATACGAACATAATTATGGAGGCAGAAACTTACTTGTTTAAGAAGCGGCTGAGCCTCGTCAAAAATAAACGAAGCATCTGGGTCGGGACCATATTCGACCCCCACAAAGCATTCCCGAAAAATATCATTCCCTTCGTGGGTCATCCCCACGTTGGGAGTCTTTATGGCCCGGACATCTCCGAACTGCCCTTCAGAGAACACAGGGACGGGCAGCGATTCATCTATGTTAATTATCCCAAGTGATTCACTTGGGACATTCTCTTCTCTTTGGAGGACCTCGAAATTATGCCCTTCGGGCTCAACTGCCAAATGTCCTTCACGACGAGGTGCGTTTTTATCACTCGATGGCTCAGGGATTCTGCTCGAGCTCCCCTCCGAGATTTCTTCGGTTCGAGATTGAACCGCATCAGCCACCGCCGGTTCAACAGCTTTTGAAGCTTCAGTGCTTCCCCTCTTCTGAGCTACCAGCAAGCAGTCGGCATTCTCTCCTTATTCCTTGTCATCCCGAAGTTGTTGGACCACGTCAGCAGATAGGGATACAGGATCGGCCCTAGGCTTTCGAGCCTTATTTTTCCTGGGCTTCGGGGAACTTGGTGGTGAAGCCCCTTTCCTTTTCTTCTCTTTGGTTGGCTTCGGGATTTCCTCTTCATCGGGCGGAGGCGGCCTCATAACAACAGTGTCTCTGAGGCCTTCGTAGGGGGAAAGTAAGTATTTTACAGAGAAACGTCAGCATATGAACAAAGGAACTCACCATGGTTTTTAGCTTCCACCGACCCTTAGCCAAATTAAGCCAATAGTGTTCAGTATGTGAAGAAGTGGAGGCCAGTTATCGAACCCAACCTGTGAGTTCCAGAATCGTACCAGGAAACCAAGGGGAAGCTGCACCATCAAAAAGAAATTAGATCGAAGAAGAATAAAGAAAGCAGAGTAGTGAGCATCACCGATAGGCTTGTACTTACGTTTCATGTTCCATTCCTCGGGGAATGGCATCCTTTCGGCAGGAATTAGGTCGGAGGTCTTGATTCAGACGAACCGGTCCATCCATCCTCGGTCCTTGTCCTCATCGATGCTAGAGAACAACGCCTTCGAGGATCGATGCTAGAAGACATCCCCTCAACCTTGATAAAACAATACCTGAGCAAATTGATAATGCACCAGAAAAGAGGGTAGATCTGGCCAAGTGTCACTCGATATTAGTGATAGAAATCGAGAATAACTAGGTCTACGGAACCTAGTGTGAAAGGATAAGTATACACGCTTAAGTATCCTTCCACATGGGTGGTGATGTCCTCCTCGGGGGAAGGAATCACCACCTTCTTATCCTCCTAATTACATTTCTTTTTCACCTGCTCGAGATCGTCTTCAGTTATCGAGCAGATGTATCGGGGCATGGGCTCTATCAGCCTGGAACTGATGCAGGCTTATCAATTTTGAAATCAGAAGATAGGTCACATGGCCCAGGAATGCACTCCTTGATACTAGGTGCCACCGTCGTTCTACCACCGGCCGACCATGGTAATGAGGAGGCTTTTTCTTTCTGAGGAACAATTTTAGATGTTTTAGCCATCACTGTTGTGAAACTCAAGAGAAAAGAAGAAGTTGATGTTGTAACAAGCACAAATTGAAGAAAAGGATGGAATCAAAGAAGATGAAGAATGTAGTAAAGATTTGGGAAATGTTTGAGAAGTAAAGATTGCAAAAGTTGTGAAATTGACCTATTTATAGTGGCCGGTTCAATGGTTTGGGGAAGCCAATGGCCGACCATCAGCCGCCTTCAATTAATGACCTTGGGAACTATGCAGACACAACCTTTCAATCACTTCTATCGCTGACGTCACGGGATTGACATCATGATTGAGGCATCAGAGGATCGATGATCAAATCGTTTCTTATCATCTTACTCTAAGAAACGCGGGGACTATCTGTATACGGTCGAAATCAGGTATGCCAGATTCCATAGGCTCGAGGAGTCACTTCAAGAACAAGTTCGAAATACACTGGGCTCGAGCCCGATGACGGAGTACAAGACTCGAAGATCGAAGTGCTCGATGAACACCGAGGCCAAGTATGACCAACCTCAAGATAATACGGATTTGTACTAGGCAGTTAGACAGCTGTATAATAAGATTCCCTACTACAATTAGAAGTGTACCTTATTTAGGATTTTCCTACTACATAGAGGGGATCCCAATTATTTGCAACGCATGAGTCATTGACAAGAGAATATACATACATCACTTTCTTGCTTATTGTTCATCTGAGTTGCCTTATTATTATTATTTTATTATTCATATTCACCTACCTCGAGGTTGCCATAGCTCGAGGTCGAGATTTGCTTACACACTGGTTTGACTTACCTTACTCTTTAATTTATACATTTGATTCCTTGTTTATCAATTAGTATTAAATTAAATCACATATCTTTAAAACCATAATGCAAGTTTAATTGTTACTCGAATTTTAGGGTACACAATATTACAAGTTTATTCTTTATATTGTTGGTGCGTGATATCATGAAATAATGACAAACGATACAATCTATCCAAATATTATATTCATCAAACGATACAGTACAATACAATACAATACAATACAATACAATACGATACGATATATTATGAAATAATATATTTACACTGTTTACTCCCATTTCAAAACAGTTGTATTTAGAGATATTCTAGCAAACTCTGTAAAGCTTATGACTTGTACTACCAATTTTGGGATCGTAATACTTGTTTGCAGAATTTTAAATTTAGAATTGCTAATCTTTATTTATTTTGTTATTATTTTTAAAAATTGTTAGAGTTACCTAGTCCCTAAGACTAGGTGTCATCACGACACCTAATTAAGTAAAATTTGGATCGTGACACCAACATTTGGCATTTATTCCCAACTAGAATGCCCCCGCCAACTTAGTCCTTAACCCACCCTTCCTAACATTTTTAAACCCTTCTCCTTGTATTTTTTTCGTTTTCTTTTTCCGTTTATATTTTAAGGAGGACTTGTACGTTTACGTCGGAATAGGTTAAAATCATGATACAAGTGACACACATTTTCGTAGATCTTCACAAAATTGGGACAGTTAAACAAAGAGAAATCCCCTAACAAAAGAAAAGGAAGAAAAACACACACCAAGAAATCAAAAATATTACTCTGAAAACTAATTTAACATGCTAAACGGTGGTCCAAGATAGTCCACGGTATTATTGGTTAATAAACTGGAAAAGAATAACTCTAAGTTGGTCCCAAAGATTGGAAATCCTTTTCTTCAAAAAAAGGAGATCTTTTTCAGTCACTAGATAAAAACTTAAATTCATTACAAAAATAAAAAGCTCAAATCCTGAAGGTTAGGAACTACGTAGAACTTTACATTAGCAAAAACTTCAAAAGCGAAAAAGGAAAAGTTTCTAGACATACCAATACTAATGCACTTTCTTGGTAAAAATGCTTCTTATATTAAACAAATTACTCACACGTGCCACTTCATCAGTCACAGCGCCACCACTCTGGCCACCGGCAACCGCCGCCGCAGCGACACTTATAGCACTATTTTCATCACTTCTACAAACTGAATTTTGCCGGTAACCAATGCACATCGGTACATTCATCTTCAGTACTCTAGCTTTTGGCATACCGGGGACGGCGGCTGACGTCACTTTCCGGTGATCTTCAGATTCAACTTTTTCGACAACCTTTTCAGGTTTACTTTTCCGGTGACCTTCTGAGCGGCGGACTTGCCAAACTGCGCTGCTCCGGCCTAAATGTACTCCACTACGGCTGGGACTACTCGGCCATTTCCTACCGGCGGAGTTACTCCGGGAACACGGTGCACTATTCACCTTCCGAGTCACCACCCGTGGCGGCCTACTTCCGCCGTTACCGGCAGATATACTCCTCGAAAACGGCCAAATGTTGATATTCAGCTCCGCCGCATTCACCCCAGTATTACTTCCACAAATTACAACGCCGCCCTTCTTCTCTTTCTTCTTCTTATCCTTCTCTTTACAATTCTGTGAAGTTTTCTTCTTGAAAATGTCTTTCCAACGCTTCGAAGAGTTCGGGGATTCAGCGCCAGAAACCTTGGGTCCGGTTTCGGATCTATCCGACCCGGATGATTCAGGCTCCGTTTTATGTGATGGAGGGTTCGGGTTAGGTGGGTAGAGAGGAAGAAGGATTCCATCGGAGAAGAGTTCATCGGCTGAGGGTAGGTCGGGTTGAGGAAAGGAAGGATTTCGGACCATCCAAAACTCGAATTCGGGTGAATGATTCGGGTCAATACTTAGTCTCCTTCCAGTACTGCTGCATTTTGCAAGTTCTTCAGGTTCTTCCATTAATTATCTACTCTTAAGGGAAAATAAGTAAATCCTCTTCTTTAGCTTTTCTTTATAAAGTTACGAGGAAGAGGGCAAAAAAAAAGGGCATGAGTTGGGGTGCTTTGTTGGGGGGTGGGGGTGGGGCTGTATGGACTGACAGGAATGCACATGCAATTAAGAAAGGGAAATGAAAAGATGGAGAGAAGTGTCAGATCATACAAAGGTCGGTTGGGGGCATGAAGGTTCATTTCATTTGAGGATTTTTCTTCTCTTATACAGAGGGGCTGAAAATAGAGAAAATAGAAATAACTTTTATCCCTATCACCTTGAGAAATGAGTTGGGTACATGAAGCAAATATTCCTAGAATTTAAATTTTATGCCCAAATGATCTAAAAGATATTGGCACAATTATATTGCTTACTTATAAGGTAATAATTTAACTGAATATATTGTTGACATAAAAAATTATACTACAAAACATCTTCATAACAACATTTCTATATTTACTATAAAATTTAAGTTTTTCTTAGAATCGATTTTTAAATTATATTTTACCTCTAGATAATAACTTTTTATATATAACAACAATAACCATATTTATAGCAGAACGTTTTTTGTAAAATTATTCATCTATAACAGATGTATAGAATCTTAAGATTACTAATAATAATTCTAAAAATATGCACACAATTTTTTCCATTGAACAAAGTTTCTATCTTGCATAAAACATAAGATTTGAAAATCTGCACATGATATATGTTCCATTGGATACCTTTTTGCTAAAAATTTAGACATGAATTTTCGCCAATTCAAGCGTTATATCAGTAGTAAGAGAAAGAAATCTGTGAAACAACTACAATTACAAAGTTATTCCATCAATCTTGAAAGAATTTATTTTCATAGTAATTTTAAAATGTGTGCCTCAGAGTTTAAATTTTTGTACGTTTAGTTATAAATTTATTTATAAAGTATTAGCTTTCTTCAATATATACCTAGTGAAATATGCATATCTTCTGAGATTTTAAATTTGAAGATTTTTATTAATCTTTTATATATAACATTAAAAAAAGATTTTTGGATAAGCTTTATCCATAACAGCCAAAAAATATTTAAACGTCAAATGCTATTATAGGTGTATAACAACCATTCGCTATAAAAGCTAAAAAATATTGGAAGAAATAAGAATGTTATAGATAAATTTGACTGTACTAGGAGAATTATGTTTTAATTAACTTTGTCGTAGCCGGCAATCTACCTACTGATCTTATTTTTTTGTGAATGATTCTGTAGTTATTTTAGGTAATTTAATAGTGTTAAAATTCTTTTGTACTCTTAATGTATAAAAATTAAGCTCATAAGGTCATTGTTGGATTATAGTTATTAATATATTACCTGTAAATATAGCAACTTAACATGTTATAATAATGTAAAAACTAAGTGCACTTACGGTGTAAAATGTTTTTATACATTATTCATCATTTTACCTTGAAAATTGACAAAGTTTACAGAGGTTTGAGAAATTCTAGGTCAAGTTGCTCTTTCTTGCTGATAAATTAACTTTGAAATGATTTCTATTTTTGACGGAATTATTGATTAGTTAACCCAATTAATCATCTAATTTGAGGTCATAGAACTTGAGGTCATAGAACATTTTCCTGTCAATGTATTGGTATTTTTAAATAATAAACAACTGTCCTGTTGACCCTTTACAAAGTCAACTTCAGTTTACAGCATGATACCCTAGAACCGGGTAATAATGGCGTTGTCAACATTAAAATTTTAAGAGATTCAACATGATATAGGAATTATTAAATGTACAGCAGCGCACAAGTCAAAGGAAAATTATACTATAAAAAGTTAAAAATCTAACTCGAATAAGAGTAAAATCAAAAGGATATTCAGTTCTTCAATGTCTCAATCTTTTAAAATACTTTTATGATTGACCCATGCCAATATGTTAAAATTAATATAAAAGAGAATGGTATATAAGCGGACTCAAAATTTAAAGGTACTGGAGCACATGAGCGAACTACTCAATTAGTACCTTAATCAAACTTTTGATCTTAAGGGTTTCAGATAAAATATACGCCAAATACATATACAACCCATTCAACTTGGACCTACTTTTTATTGTGGCACTCTATCTCAACTTTGTTCTATTTTGACTCTTCAACTCTATTTCTTATGTTTCACTTTAACACAAAAGCTGACTAGTCACATAGTGTGAATTGGCTCACCTGGTAGGCACGTGAGGCAGATTCTTTTTTGGCAAAATTCCTTCCCCAACAGTAATAAAATAACTGTTGGCCACATATTTAATCCACCAACTCCCTTCCCCTTTATTTCATCTTCATCATTTCTGTCACGACCCAATTTCCCCTCCGTTGGGTTTCGTGACGACACCTAGTTTTAAGGACTAGGTAAGCCTAATATTTACGGAAGAACAACAATAATAAATAACATCATAAAAATTCTTCTGGAATGAATCCTTTATATAGAAAACATATCCCAGAACCCGATAGTACAAGTCATAAGCTCTACAGAGTTAACTACCACTTATATATAAACTGTTTGGAAAAGAGTGAAAACCGTTGAATATAAGTAAGAAGGTGACTCCGAAGCCTGCGAAAGCAGCATCAGGTTTACCTTGAGTCTCCTCAGCAATGAACCGCACAACTACTAACTATCGATACCTGGGATCTGCACAACAAAAATGAGGAGCAGAGTAGCATGAGCACACCACGGCGGTGCCCAGTAAGTACCAAGACTAACCTCGGTGGAGTAGTGGCGAGGAATATTCAAGACACCTTCCGGTCTAATAAACTGTACAAATATAAGCATAAGAGCAACGGAACATGATGTATATAAAAAGACTTCACGATATGGCTAACAATACAACAATCACAATAAGGGAAGAAAACAACAAGTAATAGCAAAAATACCATAATAATGACATAGAAGAGTGAGCGAAATCACAAACCCAAATCCTAAATCACAAGTACAGTAAAGGTAAGCAATAACTCAGAACCTACGACAGTGTTCACATCAGGTCTTAGCCAACAAATTCCACGAAGTACCGAACCTCGGACACTCACGGGTCCCAATACCTGAACCCTAACACTTGGCATCCTGTGCCCCCATCACACCTCATGGTCACGCTGACAACTCATTTGCTAACTAGAGCTACTCTCACATATATGTCAAGTAAACGAGGGTGTACATCTATACTCAGCAATATCAGGAGAACTTCATATCCAATGGGAGTGTTCAACTACGTGTATGCTTGTGCAAGTACTTTAACATAGTTTCTACCAGCTAATAAGAATAAGAAAAAGAACGGACAACACGTAAGATGTGTTCTCACAACTTCCACGAGATAAAACTCATACAGGTAAGCGTACCACAACACAATATCAAATAGCAAGAATGCCCCCGGGCCATCACAAATCATCACAATCAATCCCTAATATAGCCCACCTTGTCTCGCCACGTGTGCAATTAATAACATAATAAGTGCCCGCCTTGTTTCGCCACACGCACATCATGATGATCCCACCTTGTCTCGCCACTTGCGCAACCCACATATAAGCATATATATATATATATATATATATATCCCATCTTGTCACGCCACATATGCAATGTATCAATAGTAACAATAGCACGATAGAAACCTCGTGCAACCCCTCAACAACAACCGCACGGTAGAGACCTCGTGCACCAACACAACAACAACCGCACGACAGAGACCTCGTGCACCAACACAACCAGCACAACAACAACAATGATAGTAATACAAAATACAGCGAGTGAATCCACTCCAAAACTTCAAATCACAAGGAAGCGGTATAACCAGTTCACAAGAATAACCACAGTAAGAAACTAAAAGGCATAAAGGGAACAATTCAACGAAAGGGGAAACTAACATGTAGTGACGATCCCACAATAAATAAGTCAGTAACAAGAAAATCAACACGAGTCTAGTAGTCCCAAATAAAGGCAAGTCGACAAAGATATAGGTCATCTAAACTCCGTTTAAGGTTGGGAAGTTACGAGAATATTTGACAATTTCAATTAAGAAAAGGTGATCTTAGCTGCACTTAAGACTAGACAATTATAGGAGGGATGATAATAAATCTCAATAACACAAGCCGTTATGAAAATGTAGCATGATAATAAGAGAGACGAAATTCTTCAGTTAAATCAAATAGGATGACAATTAGGCAATAAGAGTAAATCACGAAACAATTAATTTCAATTAAGCATGTAGAGACGAAACTAATAAGCAGGAACTCAGTCATATCAAGAATAACTCCATACATAGTGAATATAAGAACCTAAGAACCCTAAAAGTCCAACTATCCACAATTAAGTCCGAGCACGCACTCGTCACCTCGCGTACACATATTACAATCAACATAGTAGACTCAATCCTAAGGGGAAGTCCCTCACACAAGGTTAGGCAAGATACTTACCTCAAAGACGATAGACCGATACTCTAAAATGCACTTTACGGGTGAAAAGACCTCCGGACAGCTCAAATCAACCAAAATAACTTCAAAGCACAAATAAAACACATACGAAACTATTCCGGATCATAAAGGCTCAATCTTTAAATAAATCCAAAAATTGGTCCAAAAGTCGACCCTCGGACCCGCACCTCGGAACCCGACAAATTTTACACAATCCGAGTCCCATTCCTATATGAGTTCAACCATACAAAAGTTATCAAATTCCGACACCATTTGGTCCCTCGAATCATGATTTTTCATTTTAGAAATTTTCTTCAAAAACCTCCATTTTCCTCAACCCAAAACACAATTTAAATGATAGAAACAAAGGTAAAATCATGGAATATATTAAATTCTAGGTGAAGAACACTTAGCCAATTGATTTGCTTGAAAACCCCCAAAAGAAGCTCCCAAATCCGAAGTTTAAAACTAAAAATATGAAGAAAATGACTAACACTCGATATAAAAGGATTATGCCAGCACTTTCGCATCTGCGATCAAGAAAC